GGCAGCAGCTCCCAGGTGCCAGCAGCAAACCTAATGAGACAATTATCAGCCAGCCCAAGCAGTCACCTGACCAGATGCAGGCAGGGACCTGGGTACATATAAGCTCAAGGCTAGGGCTGACAGAGAAGTCTCTCCCTGGCTGCCACAGGGGAAGGAGCTCCTGCCTAGGGGAGCCACCCAGGGATGATGGGCTGACCATTTGCTGCCTGTAAGAACACCAAAGCTTGGGGAGCTCATAAGGAGCCTATGCTGGGAGGTACACTAGTAAAGGGGAGAAAGAAGGTTTGCTATCTTAAAGGGACTTGGGGCTGCTACTTTGTTGTTTATGTTACAGCCAAGGGGCTTATGATTTATATTACCATCAAGGCATGGCAGATGAGGCAGGCGCCCTAGGGGCAAAGCAAGGCATGGTTTTGGAGCCACCAGGGGACATAATGGCCCGGGGACCCTGATTACATTTCAATGTTAGGCAAGGTTGCTTCACTCTTTGCATACAATTCAAGGGGCAGCTACATCTGCATAATTCCTTACTAACATGCAAGTGCCTAGCAGGGAGAAAGACAACAGGTACCTTTTCTTCTTGTTGTCTACATCTTGCGTCCCATTGCCTGGATAAATAAGAGTGAAAATTCCATCCTTAATAATAAGCTGATTACTTTATTTGAAAAGGAAGAATCAAATTGTCCTGCAACTTCAATTCACTGTTACTTAGGGCCTCCTGCAGGGAGGCACTATGGCCCATGTATGCAGACCATCTCTAGTGAAAACCCTTAAGCTCTACCCTCCAGTGGCAGTACAGCTTGCTGTAGATGCTCTGCTGAATATTAGGCCCTGGAATTGAACTACTTCTTAGCCCCTCACTTCCATAGAAAGCTCAGAACTCATGCGCTCCAGGCAACAAAACACAGGAAGTCTACCAGCTGCAATCCCTCCACTTCTGTTCCTGGATTCTGGCTCTTCCATACCCAATTTCCTGTCACTATTTTCTGCAGAGTCCATCTGCTATTACTTGCCTTTCCTTCTGTGTGTAACAGAGGCAACAAGGATTAAAGATACAGAGGCAGGAAATGGTAGCTCATGTGACTTGCCTAAGAGTGACCGATCCTTGGAGTTTAATCTAAATGCAATGTAGTGATACCCTAAAAATCTGTTTTCTTTGCCTCTTCCTGATAGCAGCATGCAAAGATACCAGACCCTTTGCATTTTGCAGACTGGATCTAGAGCTGGGTGAATACTACAATGAAGTCTTTGCAAATATGAGTTTGAATAAAATTCACGCAGCTGGTTCTGAAAGCCTTTGCTTTCCCTTCATTTAATTTACATGAACTCCATAGGAACAGACTTTTATTTACAAGTTTTGTGAAAATAGCAGTTGTCACAAATACTCATGCATTCATAGCTTTATGTTAGATTATCATAGTTTCCAAGGCATTCATAAAACTTCTTTGTGGCTGTGGAGTCATCCAGTGAGTGAACAACAGCAATACTATGCAACTTAGGTGACCAATCAGACAACATAATCTATGAATGAATATTGAATATTAATGAATAGTGAATATCCAAAGCAATACAGGTGGTCAACAGTTCATCTGGGCTAGGAACAGACATTCAAAAAGCCTGAGCCTGAATTGATTCAATCTTTGCAGGTTAGTCTAACCTGGCTAGGTTGAACCAATTTGCAAGTGCACAGACATTCCCTCTGGACTGAGGAAATGCAGGCATATGCCTCCAGTGGCTCAGGCTAGAAGCCAGAAGGCACTAGAGCAGCCTTCCCTCCCTTTCCTTCCACAGCACTGAGGGGGCCATGGCCAGGCCCAGCAGAACGCTCTGATTAGGGAGGGGTTTAAACCCCACTCTGCCTGCACAGTCCCAGGCTTTTCTCCACTCGCTGCTCAAGGGGCGGGAGTGTTGCCAGTCCCCAGCCCCTGGCTAGCACTTTGAGGCAAAGGGGGGAGGGAGGACTACATGTGTGCAGTGCATGCATCTGTTGATGTTAGTGAGCTTTTCATCTTCCTCTCCCTGCTTCTTGATACTGTCTGCAAACCTGACAGGGAAGGGAGCCAGCAGGAAGCTGATAACAGAGCATTTAGCAGTCCATCAAAAAAACAAAAGCCTCTCTCATTAGTTCAAGCTCTTCTTAAACAGCTTCTTCCAAGGAAGGAACAGAGGGACATTACCAGCTGACCTGTTGATTAGCTCCAAAAAGCTCTAAATGGACACTGTCCTGTCTGCATTTGTTCCGTCCCAGTGAAATTGGAGACACACATACACAGACACCTCTCAGCATTAGCTAGCATACCACATGCCAGCTAGGGTCCATGGTGCTGGGGTCCATGCCATGGGAGATGGGAAGGAGGGAGGGGGGAATCCCTGCTTGAGCAGCAAGCAGCGGGGGGGAGGGGGAACAGGGGGTTCTACTAGGGAGCAGAGGGGTGGGGCCATCCCTGTTCTCTGGAGTAGAGAGCACAGCCCAGGGATGCAAAGCATATGGGATGCTGGGGGACTCTGGCTTAACTTAAACCAGAAAGGGGTCTGGGAGAGACATTGCATAAACAGGTTTGACCCAAATCAGATAAATCTGATACTATATTCAACCCAGTTTATCATAAACCAGTTTCAGCCATTCTGAAATTGCTTTATATCCATGGAACTTATGTTCTATTACAGATATAAACCTGTTTCTGATCACTTAAACCAGTTTATGTGTAATGTCTGCCCGAAGCCCCTACCCCTGCAGACCAAAATTCCTTTCTATAAACTATCATAGCAATCATGGCCTGTTTATGACTAATTTGCACAATGAAAAAGGGACATCTGAATCAATACCTGTGAAAAACTGATCAATATTTACTTACACCTATGGCTGTCAGAATACCTTCTTCTTTGTCAATTATGGAAAGCAGCATTAATTTCATTTCATGCACAATGAGTATCATATGGAGATGAAGAAGAGAAACATAAAAGGGTTCGTAAAGGAGGCAAAAGCAGCAAAACTAAACAAAGGGCATTGTACAAAAAGAATAAATCTGACATCCACCACACAGATAAGCTATACAGGTGCCAACCCTGCCAAGATTACAGTGATAGTATTTGTTCTGAACAAGGGTGAGCTCTTTTAAAACAATGTGTCCAGCACTACTAGGGATATAGTAAATATGCTTTCTCTCAGTATAAGGCAGACTGCCTTCAATTTCAACTCGTTTCAGCTGCTGTCAAGTTTCCTCTTGTGTTTCAGATTCCTATATCTCTTTTCTCATAGTTTTGTTAAGGTATTACTGCAAAACCAGAATTCAGTTCCATGAATAAAATACTTTTTTGTAAGCGCCTCATCAAGAATTCAGTACTGTACACCCACCACTTGTATTTAGTACCTTTCCCTGTAGGTAAAATTTTTCAGTGGCATGACAGGTTATCTTTACATGATAACTGGCACTTGTGTCCCCTCACTCAAGCATGTGAAGTGTCACCTAAATTGAGGTGATTGAGAGAGCAAATGAAAAAGGGACATCTAGTAAGCATGAGCCTGGCTAAAAGCAGAATCAGTCTGAATTGGTTCTTGGTCTCTTAAACCAAGAGACATGCCTTCCCTCTTTCCTGTTATATCTGGGGGCAGTGCCATAAAGCATGCTCTGCTCCCTTACTCCCATATCATGCATACCACCCCTAAAATAAGGCACTGCTTTTTCTGTGCATCTCTCAAGTGTGCTTATTGGTTCATATTCAGCACCACTCTTTGGCTGCAACCTCCCTTATTTTCATTTATAGGGTTGGGCATGTGCTGTATGGGGCATGTTTAACAGTGCTTGCTCTGGTGGGGCAAGCATACCCATACAATTAGTTTCTATATGATTCATCAATTTTCAGAGTTCATGCTGCTAAAACTGAGAACAATTTGTTTCTGTAGTGGAAGAAGGAACACCTTTCCATTTTGTCAGTCAAATATTTCTTTAATGACTTGTGGGGATGTATTTTTGGATTCTACTTTTGTTAACTTTCATGCAGCAAATCTACTACAAAGAAACATGTATTTCCGTAGGTCACACATGTGTGAATAAAATCTAAATGATGTAACTTTTCAGGAGTCCCATTTCAACTTCAAAAGCTTTTAGCAAGCAGGAGTCATTATGAGCCACAAAGATGAAATTACTAATACTTTACATGACAAAAACAACCACATGCATCAAGAGATACTAACACTTCTATTTCAGTTACTGTTATCACTAAGGACAGTTCGGTGATTGCAATGCTGCCAACAAACTTGCCCTCTCTGATTTACATTATACTTAGAGAAGGCTGTGATGAGTGTTTTATTTCTACACGTATACATACATATGTACACTACTTTCCTCAGTCCACCCCTAAATTACATGTGTATATTGAGGCAGATATTTTCAATTAATAAGAGATATGATACATTTAAAATTTATAGGCATCCATAATTAATTCTTGAAAATTACACTACAAATCACTCCATTATCATATACCAGGGTTTGGAGCCTATATTCCATAGCTTAAGATGAGCTATAGACTTGAATATATTCTATTTGGTAATAATTGCTCCCAGTCATAGCCCAATACTGGGCTGGCAGTTTTGCATTCTGTTAAATATTTATAGAAAAACAAGTCAAACAACTTTCTTTCTGCAGAGAAAAAGAAAAATGTAATCCACTGCCATTAAGATTCAAAGACTCAGGGTGCCAGTGTTCTTATTTTCACACAAACAAACAAGTTACTTTTTACAGGACTACATATGAAAGCACAGCCAGAAACAGACTAAATTTATGCACTCAAGGTCACATTACCATTTGCTATAAAACAGCGCTCATAAGACTATTTAAGGTAATATATTAAAATAGATCATTACAACCAAACAAAGAACCACATAGCTAAAATTATTTTTGTTTGAATTTTTGCTGACATACCATCATTGAAACAAAGAAACTGCAATCAGAAGTCACTTTATGAACATATGACAGTAGACAAAGTAAGGTTTCACCCACCTGGGATCTTTCTGAATGCTATCAATGGAAGGTGACCTAGCCAAGGTCCCCTCAGGTGGGATGGCTGGCCCAGATTTGCTGTATGGTGATTCAACAGAAGGACAATACTGCAGCTGTCGGTAGGGATCTGCGTAATTGGAGGCTGGGCCTGCAGCATAGCTGGCCCTCTGGAAGGTCGATGTTGCGTTCTGAGTGCCGTGCTGACTGCCTGTGCGCTGTAAGGGTACGGAGTCGACACCAGGGGAAGATGGGGCTACGACAGGAAAGTAGGGACAAAGTAAAAAATTGAGGACCTGTTCACAGAAATGGTTAACCAGGTCTAGGCAGAGGAAAAAAATACACACATATAAACAGGGGTTCAAAAAAATGAGAAAAAACAAGAACAACATTGTCATATTGAACACAGCAAGGTAAAAAACTATCAAGTGAAATTCTAAATAATATGCTACTTGGGACTGAAGGATGTTTAAAGTTCATTGAATTAGGTAGGAAATGTTTTTTGCTCTATTGCTTTCAGTTGTTTACATCATATCTGAGAACGTGTTAACCTGAAATTAAAAACATACAAGCATGTAAAGTACAGATATTTTCTTATGCATCATGCAAAGATGACAGGAGTAGTTACAGTAAAGTTTAACACCATGAAGGGCCTAGTTCTGAAACCCTTACAGAGGTGGGATGCAACTCCCACTGGAGAGATGCAGAAATAAGCACTACCGGTCTAGTTTGAGAGTGATGACTCTCCCCTCTCTTAGGGCCGAGAATTATACAGAGGTCTGTCATACCATTTTTGTGATTCCAGTTTTAGTAAAACACATACAAGCATAGCATTGATATTGAAAGGGTTAAATTATACACATTGCAAAAAAAGTTTTTCTTCATATTGCTGTAAAGAAGCCCCACTTTTCTGCTACTTCACCCTAACGAGAACGCCACCATGTGCAATTCTTGCTATCTGCCTACAGTGATAGTGAAGTACACTTGTCAAGATTATTATATTAACGCTTTGGAGAGACTCAATAGATTTAAAGTGACTTAGTGCTCTAGCTCCTTAAAAGTCTTATTAGTCTGCTTCATAGTCCATTATCTTTTTATTACACCAATATAGCAGACCAGACTTTAAGTACAGCATTGTGCATCAAGTTTATTATCAGAATGCAGTAATTTGGAGCCCAAGACCTGCTGTTTTGATTGTATCGATTGGATTCTTGTTGTATAACTACAGAATCAGTCCCTATGTGACCTTTTAGCCTTCAAGTTAATACAAAAAAAAGACTGGTTTCCTTTACAAAAGCCTCTCAAGTGTAAAAGGTACATCAAAGGCCTACTTCTGCTCCCAAAGGAACAGGGATCAGTGTGTCCTGGTTCAAGATTATTTGACTACATCAAAATCACAGGCCTATAAGGCAAAGCTGCACCCTTAAGTTACAGCTTGCTATTAAGTATTTTCCTTAAAATACACCTCTGATGTTAGACTGTTTATGCCACCCTACCCTAAGGAGCCTCAGGACAGCTTACAGCAAACAAACAAACAAACAAAAACAGATAAATTATAAAGACAAATAAAAATACTAAAATAAAATTATATCTAATAAAACAAACTCCCCAGACAATGCTTCAAAATGTAACCTCACCTGTTGAAGGGTTGTCAAAATAAAGAAGACTTACAATGTTGCCAGAGGATGTCCTTTCTTGGGTACTGATGGACCACACGTGGGGAGGAAAGGGGAGGGGTGGAGTGCCAGAGCTCAGAGCTGAAGAGTGACTACTGAGAACAACCTCCCACATGTTTTCACTGAACAAAACTGGTGCAGATATGGTAATTCCAGGAGGTTGCTTTTGCCTGACCTTAAGTGAAGAAGCCTTATCACAGTGGTGCATAAAGGAGAAGATAGTTCCTTAGGCCATATCATTTAGGACTGTATAGGTCAAAATCAGTACCTTAAATGATGCCCAAAAAGCTACTGGAAGCCAGTGCAGGCTTTGGGGCATTGTGATGTGCTCCTAGCGACCCATTCCCATTAGAAGAACCACTGTGTTCTGTACCAGCTGCACCTTCCTGATAGCCCTCAGATGAACATAGAGCACAGTGGAGCAGCTTAGCTTCAAGGTTAGAAAAGCATGGAGAGCAGATCCAAGTCTGAAAGAAAGGGTTGCAGCCTTCTCACCAGATGTAGTTGGTAAAAAGTGCTCCTAGCCACTGCCACAATCTGAGAATTCAGGTGCAGCAAAGGAACTAGAAACACCCCAAGCCTAAAGATCTGAGTGACATGGAGAGGTTAAACTCTTCAGGTGTCCCAGTCACTCTCTGCAAGTCATCACGTCTGGCCACAACCATCACCTCTGTCTTGTCTGGGTGCAGATTCAACTGGTTTACCTACATCTAATCCCTAATGGTAGCCAGACACCCAATACAGACCAAGACTTCAGGTGTTGGATTGATGAAAAACAGAGATAGAATTAGGTATCATCAGCTTACTGATGGCAACGCACTACAAATCTCTGCACAATTTTGCTACATGTTAAACAGGAGGAGTGATAAGATCAAACCCTGGGTGACCCCACAGGGAAGGTTCCAAAGGGGTGATGATCATTCACCCATTATCACCCTCTAGGACTTCCCTGCTAGGAAGCAGAACCAATGAAGAGCAGTTTCACAAATACCCAAATCATGTAAATATGTTATCAACACCTCATGGTCAACTGAACCAAAAGCTCCTAAAAATCTAATAAAATAAAAAGCATGAAGTTTATCTCATTGATCTCCAGGAGAATATCATTAACCAAGACCACAAATGCCACCTGTGTAGTATGGCCAGGACAGAAACAAGAGTGACAGGGTCCAGGAATCCAATAGCATCCAAATGCACCTGGAGCTGTTAGAAGACTACCCAGTCAATGGCCTACCCCAAGAAAAGGAAGGTGGAAACAGAGATAGATGGCTGGGGAGTCATCATCAAGAGATTATTTTTTGAGTGGGGCCTAGAGAAGTTCAGACTTAAGAATGTCCAGCACCCTGTCCTCCTAAGAAGGGGAAGATGCCAAGCCACAAGTCAACTGCAATAGCCTGTGTCTCCTCAGCTGACTTCTGAAAGCCAGGACAGGCATGGGTCCAATTCATAACTGGCTAACTGAATCCCTTTGAGCGCATTCTCTGCATCAGTAGGTAACAACAACTGAAACAACCATATAAACCAAACAAAACCCAGCTTTCCTAACCATGAGGTCTGACTCTGCAGCAAGACTTGCAGTCCCCAAGGCACTCTGGATATGAATGACTTTGTCTACAAAGCAGGGGTCAAACCCATCAAAGAAACCTGTAGGTCCTCAGTTTCTGGTGAAGTCAACCCAAATCAACCAGGCCACTCACCACCCAGAACAGTTCTGCCACAGGACACTTTGCAACCTTTTAAAAGGATATAGGGATGAACTGGTTGGCTCCAGTATGAGCCAGGATCCCCCTGCATATTAACTGATTACCCTCCTACTTAACAGGCTTCAAATCTCCTTTATACCAGGGGTAGCCATGCCTCCACAGCAATGACAGCAGACACCGTCAGTGTACTATTCTACAATTTGACCAGGCCATCAAACAGAGTAGCCATCAAGGTCAATGGGAACATCCCCCAGAGAGTTTTGGAATCCTACCAGCTCCATGAGTCTTCACAGGTGGACTGACTTAACTGGTTGAGAACCAATGGGGGCATTGATAGGCAAGACAGCCCAGATGCATTAATACTGTTTTATTCCTTTTTGGCTCTATATTAGGATGGGTAGCAAAGAGGAAGGGACAGACTATTAAAGGCTTTATTTTGAAGTATATATTGAAAGCTGAAATATATAAGACTTCAAATTTTGTTTAGTTATTGTCTCCTTGGGCCAATTTAAATTCTAGTACAGTATTTGACACAGATCAACTATTTTTCTACATAGAGTATTGTATTTCTGTCTTGTATTTGTTTTGTCTTGTAGTTTTCCTTTTCATGCCTATGAAGAATTAGTATAATTGGAATTTAAGTCATTAGGATAATAGCTATGATGCTATAATATTGCAAATGTGGAAGTTAACAAACACAAAAACTGCAACAGGATTATGTTAGTTGACATGTAAGCAAGTATACAAAAATCTTTCTTTTACATAGGGTTTCATGTGATGATGTATATTTGCTGAGTGACTAATGAAAATATATGTATTAAAATATACTGTTGTTTCAAGGGGGGGCAAATAATAATGCAGTAACTATATCAGAGTAACAACACACATACCACACAAAATCCAAACAAAATCCCTGCATCCTCAGCAGCATTAGATTGTATTAGATTAGAAATATAAAGGGGGAAAAAGGATAATTAACAGAGAATCAAAATGTTGTCTCACAGAGAAAAGAAGCTGAAAAAGGAGAAGTTAGGAAAAAATACTGAAAATGTTTCAAGTTGAAATGAAAGGAAAAAAGGAAATACATGCAGCATTAAAATCCTGCTATTTAGGCATTAGAAAATGACATTGCAGCGTGTTGCTACCTTTTGATCAGTCATTGAAACCTAGAGAGCAGCCAAAAGCTCTAAATAGTAGCATGACTAAAAGGAAGTCCTTTTTGCCACACAGAAAATTATTTGGTATAAAACCCCATGCATTTCATCTTCTTTCCTAGCAACACAATTCAATGACACTTTTTAAATTTTTGACACTAACTGCTTCCATCTTTTTTCTCTTTTTGTAATGCATCAGGAGGGTATCTGTATAAGCTGAAGAGACTTGTCACCCTCCTAACTCCTACAAACCTTTTGAGTCATTCTGATTCATTCTCCTAATTATGTCTCTCTAACAGACTTATTTCCTTTCTAGCTTTATCGCAATGCACACAGACCTGTGGTAGGTACACTAAGAAAGAATAAGACAAATAAATGACTTGATAAAGAATATGCAAAATAATATATGCTTGGCCAATGCCAGCTGAATTTTAATTTAAAATAACTTGAAAAAAAAAAACAACAACAGGTAATAGTATATCATTTAACTAGAATGTGAAACTTTTATATAAATTGTGAAAGAACCCATGTTTGGAGGGTGCTCCTATGAAAGTTGATGTAAAGCTGAAACAGAGCTCTTTTCTCTCAAGACACATTACCATTGATCATTAAACTCTCTCAATGGTAAGATCTATTGTTTGTTATGTGGCTGTTAATTTAAAACATGTTCAATTTCTGAATGGTTATAATTCTTCTGTTAAGCTCTTAAGGCAGAAGTGACAT